ATCTTTGATCAGTTTTGATTGTGTGTATGCATTTGTGTTTATAAGTGCAATTTTATGTTGCTGTTGCTTCAGGTTGTAGGTCTCAAAGTTTGCACTGTTATCTCTTTGTGCTGCAAATTTAGCACGCTTGATTTTGCATTTGCCTAGTGTAAGTGGTAATATGGAAAAACCTATTTACTGGTCTTATAGCAATATAGCTATAGCTTCGGGAGACCTCAGTAAGAGGTGCTCCTCCATTGACAGGTTAAGAGAATTGCAAGAAGTAAAGTTGATTTGTTGAGTTACTACAGAGTTGATGTAGCCAAAAAACATGATAATATTCTGTACCTTTATAAATTGTTGGTCTGAGCAGTAGAGCTAGAAAAAAATCTTGGTGAATTATTCAGTACATTTTCCTGATAAGGTAATTCTTGCTTCTGAAATGCTTGTTTGTTTTTTTTCTGGCTTTCTCTTCTGGACTAATCTTGATGTCCAGTACTTCCTAATGCTAACTATTCACAGCCTGCCACAATCTGCAGGAAAAGAGAAGTATTTCTGTAATCCAGCACCAGGCTGGGACTCAAGAGATGATTTTATTTCCTGATTTTGTATTAGGTTTTGTTCCTGGGCTCAGATGTCTCTGTTTCTGAAGAAGAGAAATGAGATTCCCTTGTTGCTTTCTCACTTAGACTTCTAATTTATTTAGTTAGGACCTGTCTTTTCTTTTTAGACTTATTTGAGTTTCTCTATTTCAAATTTGTTGCATTTAGAAATAAATTATATGAATAGGATATGTATATTCTGAAAAATGTAACACTTTAGAAGTGTCTCAAAGTATAAATTATTTTAGTATAATCAGCCCTCAAAGGTAGTAATTCTGCACTAGTAAGGCAGACAATGCTAGTTTCCTGAAAATATTGAGGAAAAGAGTTTTCTGTGCTCTCAGCTCATATCTTGGAGTTGGTACTACAGTTTGAAAATGCAAGCTCAGTATTGTTGGCCCAAAAGGCCTGACAATGACCACTGTGAACTTGATCTTGAGACTGCAAATGCCTCTTATATGGCAGGAATTCCATTTTCACAATGTCAGATCTTCTCCCTGAGTTATTTCTTTTCCTGACCACTCATATTTTTTGGTTGTTATTTTGTGCTAAGAAAGTGCAAGGTTTTATGATCAGATTGTGCAGTAAAGCCAATCTCCAATTTTATAGGGAATAAAGCTCGAGTAGATTTAAGGTATGATTCGCATGGGAGTCATTTCTTGATGTAAAATGGAGAATAGTTGAATTTGAAAGTTTTTCTCATGCTCTAAAGAAAAAGGTGAATATAAGTTTATGTGCTGAAGTTCAAACATAATAAATTTGTATGTGTAGAAATCTACCTGTTTAACACTGGAACTTCAAATTGCCGGATTTTTGATAGCTCTTATCTTCCAACTTGAACTATGTCTGTTAATATAGCAGTATACAGTACTGCAGTATAGTACTTAACCTACAGTATATTGCACCCATGTTTTTCAAAATGCTTTGTGTATCTATTGTCTGTAGACTTACAAGACAGATCTATTGTTTTAAAAGGAAGAGAGAGAACAATATCTCAGTATGGGTCTACAAATCAATTACTTGTTTTAAGTGGCTCGGTAATTATGGTTAAATTGTGTGTCTGAGAAACATATTAGAATCACAGAATAATTTGGGTTTGAAGGGACCATAAAATCATGAGCCACCTTTTACTAGATGTGGTTGTTTGAAGCCCCCCACACTAGCCTTGAGCACCTCCAGGAATGGCGCATCCACAACTTCTCTGCACAACCTGTTCCAGTGTCTTGCCTCTCTCATAGTGAAGATATTTTTTTCCTATTTCTAATCTGAATCTTCCTTCTTTTATTTTAAAGCCCTTAACCCTTTTCCTATCACAGCATGCTCCTTTAAAAGTCCTTCTTCAGCTCTCTTGTAAGCCCCCTTTAGGTACTGGGAGTCAGCCATCTCTTCTCCTGAGAGAAAAGGTTCCCTGAGCCTTTCTTCACAGGAGAGAGGTCCTCCTGCCCTCTGAGCATCCTCATGACTCTCCTCTGGACTTGCTCCAACAACTCCATATTTTTTTGGGCGGGGGTAGAGGGGGGAGGAGCACAGTAGTGCAGGTGAGGCCTCATGAAGGTGGGGCAGAGGGGGATTATCACCTTCCTGATTAGCTGGCCATGCTGTTTTTCATGCCCAGGACTCAAATGGCCTTCTGGACTGCAAGCGTTGCTTTCTCATGCTGAGAAAGTACCTGACACAAGTGCAGGATCTTGCACTTAGGCCTTGTTGAACTTCAGGAGATTTCCGTGACCCTACTTCTTGAGTTTGTCGTGGTCTGTCTGAATGGCATCTTTCCCTTCAGCATGTTGACCGCACAGTTCAATTTGGTGTTGTCACAAACTTGCTGAAAGTACTCAATCCCACTGTCTGATGACAACAAAGATAAAATTAGTGCTTGTCCCAGTCCTGATCACTGATGTCCACCTGGATGCTGAGCCATTGACTGCAAACACTGTGAATGCTACCATCCAGCCAATTCCTTACCCATCAAGTGGACCAGCTGTAAAATCCACATCTTCCAGATGTAGAGCCAATATTCCTAGGAAATCATTCTGTACTTCTCAGGATGTAAAATGCGTGAAATGCAGTAGATGACAGCCTTAGGGACGCATACTGATATGACCAATCTGTTCTTGGTAGATGGTTTTCAAATGTTGTGTAGAAAAAAATACAGTGCTAACAGAACACAATAGAACCACAGTAGAATACATTCACATTTGTATCCTGAGACATAATCTGATAGACTGTGAAAGGACAAAGCATTTGGGGGTTATTGAAGGGAAACGTTACTTGCTTAAATTTTTCTACTCAATGAAGTTAGCACCATTACACCAACAGAGGGAATTCTTACAAATCACTTTTCAAATTTGATGTAGAATATCAGCTTTCATTGAGAGATTTGATATGTTTGTTGCCTTCAGTTTGCATTGTAAACATTTATGAGAGAGGCTTGGCACTGGCGTGACCTGCTGCTTACAGCCCTGCTTCCTTCTCTTCTGCAGTTTTCTCTCTTCAGTTTTTGAGATCTCAAAAATACTTTTGATTATACATTGGGAAACCTTAATCTGGTTAAGTGGATATTTGCCTTCTTGTAGAACAGCAGGTAGTTAAAGATGGTAGGAGTAGCAAAGCTAATGAAGTGGAGAAAGTTGTAAAACAAACAAACAAACAAAAAAGGTAAAACAAAAAACTGCAAGTGAAGGTTCAGATAGGACCAAATTTATTTTAACTCCTACAAGATTGATCAGAAAAAAACTAGCTAGGAAAATGTGGGCTGTCCAATTCTTCATGTCTTGAAATGAGGCAGAAGACTTCTGGAGGGTAATAAGTGGCCACCGAGAATTTACTGGTCTCGATATGAAGGCAAGAGGATAAAATCTAGTGGAATGTATGAGGTCTGCTCTGAAAATAATGCCTTTTATTTTATTACATTGGCCCACAATCTCAGAAGTGGGTGTTGGTGGTACAGCAGTAGAGGCTGAACCTTCACACCAGTATTCCATTACGTTTTCTTGCTGTGTCACAGATGATAGCAGAGGGGCACTCTGACAGAATGTCATGGGAGTGTATATGAAGTTAACATGTGTCATAGAATTCTTCTGTGTGGAAAAATCCATTAACAGTCATTGATGTTTGCTGAATGTTTACAGAGGCCAAACAATGGATGTGAGCACAGTGAGGCAGTGGGTGGTGTGTTTGGTTACTTCTGTTGATGCATATTTGTACAAGCATGGCATGCAGGAGGCTCTTGTTCATCACTGGTGAAAATGCATAGGTAATGGTGGTGACTATGTTGAGAAATAGTGTTTGTTAGCTGAGATTTGCTCTAGAAAACAGTATTATTGTTCTTTTTATCCATTGTCCTTTCCATGGAAATAAATAGGAGGCATTACTTGTGGAACAACCTGCTTAGTGTAGAGCAAATGAGATTAATTGCTAATCCCTTGTGGCCTTTTAGTCTGTATTTTTTTTTAAATGATTTTCATTATCTATCTTGGCTGTAGTGTTTGTGATGGAATGTCCTTTTGTGAAGGACAATTTCAATAAATCAGCAAGAAGTAAAAAATGGATGCAAAGGGTGTTTCCACTTATTCCTTCTTATGAATTTCTAAAATGTATGAATTAAATGTACAAGAGTGAGGTGGTGTATATGACTTAAAGTTTAGTCACATCGCATCTAATCAAGTACCCTTTGTACTCAGCAGGAAGCCTTTCACAGATGTTTTGGAAATGAATGCTTGCCAAACATTTGTATTGTCAAGAGTGCACAAGCTGTGTTGGTGAAATCTCTCTGCCAACACAGCAGCCGTAGATTTTTGCATAGTATCTTTCGTGAAAACTGATCCCTGTGAATTGCCTACTGGAACAGAAACGCTTCTACTGTTGAGTGGTGTGCTCTAATGTATAGGCTTTCTGTAACTTCTTCATACAGTGGAAGCAGGGAATTCCTCAAATTCTGTGAAGGTTCAGCTTGGGTCTCTGCATGCCTGACGCTCAGAATTCTCTGTGGGCTAAAGCATTTCTAGTTGTATAATGCTACTTGTTGTTTCTATCTCTCCATCTCTTTTTCTCTTCCCTTTGTTCATCCTTTGCTGAATTAAGCAAGACAATATAGTTTTGCAATTAATAAAGGGATCGTAGTCCCTAAGTTCTGGAGAATACAACAGATTTTTTTTTTAATTATTATTTTTGGTAGAGCAATGAGTCTTTGAAGATTATATGCTTTGAATTGTACAAACACCGTCTTCCCCACTTGTAGCATGGTGGATGGGTCAAATCTGTAGATTTCATCAAGCCTGATGTATCTTATTCTGAGTAGTAAATTGCTTCCCAATTATGGTTTTCTGGTCTTTTCTTCGATATTAATGTAAGAATTTGAGCCTGCACTTACGTGTTTGCTTTTTCCTTTTTTTTCTTTATTTCTGCTGTTGGCTGTTGCAGGTAATGGCAAACATGTGCAGTGGCTGCGTGGGAAGGATGGTGAGGTCTGGGTCTGGGTTATGGGAGAAGCCCCAGGTGACAAGCCGTATGAACAGATATCAGAGGAGCTAATAGCTGAACGCGCCAGGCAACAAGCACAGAAGGAGGCAGAAGAGCTATGGTGAGGATTTAAGAATCTGAATTCAGGGTCCACTTGGCATTATGGGACACATGGCCTTGTAGAAAGGTGTGAGGTAATGGTGGGTAAAAAATGGTAAGTATGTTTTGTCAACATTTGCTTTCATTTGTTTTTGGTGATTTTTCAATCTATGAAAAAATAAATTTTATTTTAATATTTAAAAAACAGAAATCTTCTTGCACAAAAAACTGTAGTGAATATTTTTCTTTTTGGGAATTTTGCTAAACTGTTGTCCAGTTTGTAAGTAAATAAAAAATAGGGAACTGGCAGAGGAGATTGCCAAGTTGCTCTCTGCTGACTTCGAAAGGTGATGGAGAATGGGAGAGATGCCTGAGAACTGGAGGAAAGCCAATGTATATCACTTTTCAGAAAGGAAAGGAGGGAGGACTCACCTGCATCCCTGGGAATGTGATTTTTTTTTAATGTCATCTCCAAGCAATGTCATTTCCAAGCAGGTGAATGAGAAGCAGGTTATCTGGTGCGTAAACATGGATTCACCAGGGGAAAGTCGTGTTTGATGAGTCTGGTAGTCTTCTATGATGTCATGATTTGCTGAGTAGATGTGGGAAGAGCAGCAGATGTTGCGAACCTTGACTTAAGCAAGGCTTTTTACACTGTCTTCCATAATATCATCGTAAGTAAGCATAGGAAGTGTGGGATAGATGAGCAGACAGTGAGGTGGATTGAGAACTGGCTGACTGTCAGAGCTGAGGGTTGTGATCAGTGGCACAGAATCTATCTGGAGGCCTGTAGCTAGCAGTGTTCCGCAGGGGCCAGTGCTGGATCCCATCTTCAACATCTGCATTGGTGATGTGGATGAAGGGATAGAGTCCACCCTCAGCATGTTTGCCAATGATACAAAGCTGGGAGGAGTAACAGACACACCAGAAGGATGTGCTACTTTTCAGTGAGACCTGGTCAGACTGGAGAGGAGGATGGAGAGGAACCTTCAACAAGGGCAATTGTATAGTACTAAAATGAAAGAGGAATAACCATGCACATTGGTATGGGATAGAAGCTAACCTGCTGGAGAGGAGCTCTGCAGAGAAGTACCTGGGTGTCCTGGTGGACAACAGGTTGGCCATGAGATAGCAGCATAGATAGCCCTTGTCGCTGAGAAGGCCAACAGTAGCCTGAAGTACATAAAAAGAGTGCGACCAGCAGGTTGAGGGGATTTATTCTCCCACCCTAATCTGCGCTGTTGAGGCCACACTTGGAGTACTGTGTCCAGTTCTGTGCTCCCCGGTTGAAGAAAGACAGGGGACTACCGGAGGCAATCCAGTGGAGGGCCCCAGAATGACTGGGGAACTGGAGCATCTCCCCAGCAATGAAGGGCTGAGTGACCTGGGGCTGTTCAGTCTGGAGAAGATAAGACTGAGGGTGGGTCTTACCAATGCTTATAAATATTTAAAGTGTAGTAGTCAAGTGGATGGGGCAGGTTCTTTACACTGGTGCCCAGTGACAGAACAAGGGACAGTGGATGCAGGCTGGAACACAGAAAGTTTTACCTGAACACAGGGAAGCACTTCTTTACTGTGACAGAACACTGGAAACAAAGTTTGCCCTGGCTCAGTTTTCACTGCAGCCCCTGCCTGTCCCGTGATTCTGTGTTTTGAGATGGTGAAATCAGAAAATATTTGTTGCATCTATGCCCACAACAGAGATTTTGTATGTGTAATGCTTTTTTTTATTATTATTATTTTCCAATTGGCTTAATGTGCATGCTGCTTGTGTTAGTTCTTAACCCAGCAGTTCAGAAGCTGATTACTACAAGTGCTGGTGTTTCCAGTAGGGCTGATTCCAGCTTTCGTAAAGATTGAAAAGTCTTTTGATGCTTGATGTTGTGATGTTGTTGGGACGTAGGCCACCTGCTTCCTGCACTTAGTTTTGCAGTTCAGTGCACAGAAGTAACACATTAAATATTGGATTATTCTGTATTATTGCTTTTCATATCAGATTCTTCTTGCTTATAATGATTGCAGATTTAAGCAGGGATTAAAACTTCACTGTGTGCTCTGTGCTCTTTTTAGGCTGTCACAATTAATAAATGCTCTACTGTTAAAGTTTTGCAGACATTTTCGCTGGTTTCACTATTTGAGAGAAAATAAATTCCCATGGTTTGCTAGATGGATAGGAAAAATCTGTTTTCAGCCAAGGAAAATAGGACATGACTGGAAAATAATAATAAAAAAAAAAATTGATCTCATTTAGAAGATGTTATATTAATGGGACATTTACTGGAAATTGAAAAAGTTTCTTGTCCAGATGGTTATCTGAAATCCATTCCTCAGAGGTTTCTTGTTAAGTGTGTTTTCTTTTGTATTTCCATGACGTTTAATTCTAATTATTTGTTGCAAACAAGGATCTACTACTGACTAGAATTTGATCTTCAATTTAAAAAAACCCTCAAGAACCATGCCTTGAATTATCTTCAATCATTTTTATTTTCAAATTCTTTTCTGAAGGAGACAAAAAGAAGCTGAAATTACAAAGAAATTCCGGGATGCTATGGCTCAAGAAAAAGCCAGAATAGTAGCAGAAAAGTGGAAAATAGAAATGGAAGATCGAAAAGCAGCAAAATTGGAGGAGGAAAAGATTCAGGAGGATCTGAAGGTTTGCACAATTGTATTTAGGCTTTAAGTGTTCTTACAGAGATTCAAAATTCTTCTCAGCTTTGGTGCATGTTTATTAATAAGTTTTAAGAACCAAAGTTGTGTTTTTTCATCCTGGAATATGCAAATAGCTACATGGTGCTCACCGGCACAGCTGGGTGAGTGATGGGGGAAAAAATTACATATCTCATTCGAAAGTGTCAGGACAATCATATGGGTTATTCAGCTCACACACTGATGGAATTGTTTAGTCAGCTCTACTGAGTGAATCATACTGGGGGAAAAATGTTCAATTGTGGAACGTATCTTTTTAAGCTAGTCTTTTTGAACATATTTGATGCATTTTGTGTGCATTGCTCATACATTTGACTTAAAAATTCTCTCTCCACATTCATTAAGGTAATGAACAGTGGATCTTTCTCCTACTCAACGTATGGGAAAAAGCTTTGTTTCATGAGGTTCATTTACCTGATTTTTATTGACACCATTGTGAATTATCCATAAACTCGGTTACAGTGTTTTAATGTTGGTTTGAAATACTTTTTTAAGATTCTCTTGTCAAAGATAATTTGAAGACAAGACAGGAAATGCAGATCTCTGTTTCTTTCAATTTATTTTGTAATGATAAAAACAGGAAAATACAATTGTCTCAGTATGCAGAGAAATTATCATGACTTCTGAGCCTGAGATGTGTGCTGTGGGACTGCACAAGATTGATGCAGCTGGGTTTCCATGGAGAAAACCTGTAGCAAAGCATGACTCCTAGGAGATCTACATGCAGCCATTTCCATCTACACCCTGCTCACTTTACCCAGTTGACAGTTGACTACTTGTCATTTTTCTCTTCTTGGGATGGTGATTAAATGCATGGAAACTGTGGATGGAATCCTCACCTTGTCCCTCTGTAACAGGACAAATTTTGAAAATCTCAGTGTTTATTTATATGGTTTGATTCCCAACTACAGTCAGCAAGTTACTTGTCTATCTATAAACAGTGGGGTTGGGATTTGAGGATGGCTATATAGCAAAAAGCCTCTGCAGCACAAAGTTGCTGATTTACCTTTGCACAATTAATTTGAACTCATAGGGGAGAACAAGGCTTTTGAAAATTGATGTCAATGAGTAATGAAACTATACCTTTCAAGTAGCTTTATTAATGTGTGAATAATGAGCAGAGCAACTAATTAAATTGCTTTCCTTCCTCTACTTTCCAGAAAGCAAAGCGCTATTGATCTAAGACTGCTGCAGGCCTGTTCACTTGTGGCTCTGTGTTTGTTTCACAATGCATTTGATGGTCTAAATGTCCACAAGCTCACTGTTCTTTTGTTTCAAAGAGATTTTTTCAAAAATCTGAATGAGCAATTTATGAAAATTCAGTGGCCACCAGTCGCATTTTTTTTCTTTTAAGGAAAACTAGCCTTCCACAATTTGAAAAGAGTGGCACCAAATTCTGCTCATTGTACTTAGCTTGATGAGAAGGTCATGGGTCATGTCCTAGCAGCAGCAGCTTCTCTGTCCACCAATTTATTTAATCTCTCTTGGTTCCTTGTTGGGAAAAAGATGAATTAATCAGTTTCATTATGTATGACTGCAATCATTGAAATCAGAAAAAAATGCACCTTTCATGAATGATTCAGAGAGTGGAATCAAATGCAGATCAGCTAGCCCACTTTAGCAGGTTTAAGATATTTAATGTGTTGGTACTCATCCTTCTGTGATAACAACCAGTATGTAGTTAAAGAAGTCCCCAAACTAGGGTATGAAAACATCAGTGTCTATTAAGGCTTTGTCCTCTTGAAGAATTTTGACTTGAGAGATTGGAGCTCTGTCTGTTCTGATATGCTGATATGTTTAATTTCTGACCACGCTGTATCACAAACTCTCCTTTTTAAAACACTTTTATATTCTTGACTTATCATGGGACTTTAAGGCTGCCTGCGCTAGATAAATGATATCTCACATATCAAACTGATGATTCCTGTCTTATTTTTTAACACTATTGAAAAAATATTGCATTCCTTGGTGTTTCTTAAACAGAAATGCCTTTAATTTATGATGCTAGAATATAAATGTTCAATGCTCTATTTTTGCAGTTCAAGAACTGCTATTCTTTTATGCATCTATTGCAAAGGACAAATAAGAGAGCCAATTACTATCATTAATCTTTTTCCAAATTCACAAAGGCTATGAGATCATAGACATCATTTCCTGCTTTTATCTGTCATTAAGAGTCTTGAACAATGTACAGAGCTAAGATAAATTAAAGATGTGATCTTCAGTGAGCCAGAAGAGGGTAATATCCTTTAGCTACGTTTAGGAATGAGAGATACTGTCTCAGTTCTTTGTGGTCTCTGTAAAGCAAGAAAATATTAATAGTAAAGTGCTATCTGTATGACAACAACAGATACCTGTCAAATGTAATTATATAAGCAGAACTGACAATAAAGCTAGATTGTCTCTTGCAAAAATCCATAGGTATTAATCAAAAATTATGTATTGGGTTTAATTGACACTGTGTGTCTTCATGTATAAAAAGATATTTAGTGGGACTTATAATGACATTGGCACTTTGGGAGAAATAATGCTTATTTTTATCATAGGCAATAAGAGAGGAATAGCATTACAATTTCCTGCCATTATTTTGATTTTTATTGTTATTCAAGTGTTTATGACTAATTCCCATTGGGACTGTGTTGAGTGAAGGGGGAGTTTCTGTGTCCTGGCTGTTTTCATTGCCATGAAAGAAGGCAGGTTTATAAACAACCTTCTGAGAAGAAAAAGAGTAACTAGTGCTCTAGTTCAGGAAAGTAATAAGGACGACTTGTGCTTAGTAGACAGAGTACACTTCTGTCCCGCTGGCTTGGATGGGCTTTCAACACGTGCTTTGTGAGTGCTTTCCTGTGCTAGGAATGCTGTGGACCTGTTTTTTTTCCAGTGGTTGCTGCCAGATATACAGATTAGGAATGCAGTAAAATGTCACAGTTACCACTTAGAGTACTTTTGCACTTCTTACAATCTAGCAATGAGCATTCTGTCCTACTTTAAAAAAAAAAAAAAAAAAAAAAAAAAAAAAGTTGTTTCCAAGTGAATATCAGGTAATTAAGTGGGCCTGTTGTTATGTTTAAGTGCAAATAAGCTGTAATTTCAGCTATGTGCTCTATGCCAAGAAAACACTGAACTCTTTCCCAAGGATAGTGTATTCAGAATACAAGAATAAGACAACAGCTTCTTGACCAGATTGTGCATCTAACTCATTCTGAAAATCCTTTCAGTACATTCAATACCAACTACAATATTTTGGTAATGCTTCATTTCTGTACTTTTTTGACACCACAGTTAAGATTTTATTTTTTATTTTTCTATGCAGATGTTTCTTTAGTGATACTGTAATGAGGCTGGTTTTCGTCTTCAGCTGGGAAACAGATCTTCAAAGTTTTCCTATCCTATGTGCAATGAATTGTGACATGAACTTTAAAGAAAAACCCTTTCCCTACTAATGTGGGTACTGATTATGCTGCTGAAGCTGATGTCCTTATTCTAGACGCAGCATAAATATGACCTTTCCCATGGGTAAATGAGAACATATGAACCACTGATGGGGATAGTTGATATACCAGGGATTTGAATTGTGAAAAAGAAACAAGCCATTAGGAGATTGTGCTCAAGAATGGTCTGCTCCAGCTCATGTAATAAATCTCAGATCCTTCCTAATTGGAATGAGTCCTCACCTTTGTTTTGTACTTCATCTAAAACATGGTCTTTGCAAAGCAGATGTGATGTTGGCACGTGCCTGTATGAGATGTATGTGAATAGCATGTCCTGGGGCTCATCTGTTAGTGAAATGTGAATTTTACAGAAAGCGTAACTGCACTGATGGTATTTGTCTTCATGCAAATGCGTGCATGGACTAGTGAAATGATGCAAACCTGTTCCTCTTGAGACACTGATAGTAGAGAAAATATGTTTCTGCAAATGTTTTTCTTTCTGAGGCAAGTGGGAGGATTTTCTCAGAAAAACGTTGGGAAGTGGTTGGATGTATTTCTGCTGATGCATGCACACAGCTCTTCTGGAAACTGCCAGGTGGATTTGTGGAGAATGCTGGTCTCTGAAGTCAGTCCTGGTGTAACAGTGCTGCTGACAGCACACTGTGCTGGAGCCGAGGACCCTGTTTTTTTCAGAATCTCTTACTGAGGGCTGGGAGACCTAAGGCCTCAGATGTGAAGATGAGCTGTGCTCGCAGTACTCTGGCAGGTGGCCTGGACATCTGCCCTAGCACAAGGCTTTGACTGCAGGGAGTCCAAGTAAATGCATAGCAGCTGTGCTGCAGCAGGCTGCCTTCGGCTCTCAAGGCTGCCAGGAATGTTTCCTGACAGCCTTATGTGTGGAGGGAATCCAAGTACCCTTCGTCTCAGAGAGGGCTGCTGTAACAAACCCTCTGTGTGGGTTTTGCCCCAAGCAGAACGGCAGTCGTTCAGCTGCCCTGCATCCTTCCTCCGGAGAGAAGCCCCAAGAGCCTCAGCAGCCAGAAACTCCATTTTCCATTGGAAAACAATGAGGTGATGTTTGTCTTGTCTCAGGGCATTTTAAAAATCATTCTGCAGCAGAAACTGAATACTGACCTAATCTTCTCTCATTCGTGTTGGACTGAAATACCTCAAGCTAACCCTGGCTAGGATTAAATATTATTTAGAGCTGTCTGAGGTAGCACTATCAAACACTGTGTGATGCACATTTACAGTAACAAGTTTGTGGTAAATGCTCAAATGCCAGGGGCTAGATAAGATCATTTAGCATGTTCACATTCTTCAGTGGAGTTTAAGCTGTAGAGGATTACTCCTGCCTATTGAATTGCCAGCATGATTTGTTGCAGCAGGTTGGTATTTGTTGGCAACTTGCAACCATGCACAGAATTGTCACCTTCCTAATTATTCTGGAAGACATGAAAGAATCACTGCACACAGTGCAGTCTCTCCCAGCTGTGAGGCAGGAGGTGATGGTTGGAGATTATTACAGCTCTTTTCTTTCAGCTCTATGTGAAGGATTGGGTTCGCAGGGAGAAGAAGATAAACGTGCTGTTCTTTTTCCATTGGTGTAAGTGTGAAAAGTCCAATTGTTCATTTTCAATAAAAATTCACACTTTTTATTCATACTTATCCAAATGCTTATTCATCTGTCCTGTGTTGTGCTATGAATTGTCATTTCTCCTCACAGGCAGTTGTTCCCAAATATACTTACACATTAGTGCATTCAGGCACTAATTTGAGTAAATGCTATTTAAAATCAAACTTGCTCAAAAATATAAAATGGTGCAAAACAAGTTTTGTCAATTCAGAGTCAAGTGCTAGTGTTGAATGTTTTTGTTATTATTTCTTCTTTGACCTAAAGATCCTTATTCCCACTAAAGAAAAAAAGCTACGCTTTTCTTAATAGCCACTGCTGCTTTCCATAGAGAACTGAATTGGGTTCTTTTTTTGTTAGGGATTTTCATCTTTATACTACAAATTCTTGAACAACAGCTGTATTGAAACCAAACTTCTGACAAATCCCTTGTGTGATTCAGGGAAATTGCTGAGGTGGATTCTTGTGGGGTTTGTTCTGGTAGTTTTTGTTTCATTTGTTGGTTGGTTTTGTATTTAAGATGTTGAATAGAAACATTTTGATAATTGAGGATTACCTCTATGATGATCTGCCTTCCTGAAAGGATAGCCTCCATGTGGTGGAATTTTTTTCGAAGCAGTGCAATTGGGTGGATAACATTCACCTCGTAAGAATAAAGCACAGCTCATGGGATGCTTTTTCCAAGAAGGAATTAAAAATGTTTGCTAGCGACTGAAATAAGAAAAGTCTTGTTCTGCAGGAGATGTAAAAGGGATTTTTTTTCTTCTGAAGAAGCTTCTGGGCTTTGAAATCAGTGCTTCATAAAAGCATTGACATTTCAGAAATAATGAAGTGTCCACTCAACTAATCTTCTTAAGACTCGGGAGATAACAGTGCGAGGACAATGTTAGAAATAATCAGAGAGTCTGGCATTAATATATGAAAAACTGAGTGAAGAACAAAACCGGGCTTTTCTTTCTCAGAAACAGTAAGATCAGCCTAATTTATTGTTCATCATGTATGCTATAAAACCCCTATTCACTACCAATAAGTTTTTCAGGTCTTTTGATTTAGTTTAGTAGAATCAAAGGGACCTCCTCTGCTTACTAGCGGTGCTCAGCTGAGCTAAATGGAGAAATGTTGTTTTCATTTACTTGAGGAAATGGAAAAATTGCGGAATTCTAGCAAGGGCATAGATTTGCATTTGTTCCATTTTCCCATTTAAAATGTTGATTGTTGCTGCTAAATTGCTTACTACTTCTCAGTCTTTTTTAATTGTCAATGGACAAAAGCATTACAGAGCTGTGTCAGCTGTCTGACTGTTCAAAAATCAAAGCACCCTGGTGAAACTCAAGGCATCTGTCCTTGTTTATGCACTGTTATTTCCACATTCATACAACTACAAGATGTTATTTTTCTTAAACATGGCATTGTGTCATTCCTAACTGGAACAACCAAACAGTATTGATTCTTTTTGGGTCTTCATTAAGCTTCTATGAGTCACAAATGGTGAATAACAATATTATTTGCTTTGAAAAGCTGTCTTCAGAAAAGAAGTTGAATCATGCTCCTTTAATTCCGGTTTTCAGTTAACAAAAAATTACGTATGCAGTGCTGGAGAGAATTAAAAAAGCAAACACGCAAACAAACAACAACCCTTGCCATGGTGGATAAAATTTTTCTTGATTCTCAGATGAGTATTCCAGATGTATTTCATCACTGGAAAAACACAGATGATGGTTACTCTTAAATGTGTTAAAAAGCAATGTTGTTTGGTAACATCTTCCAACAGGAAGAACCAAAATGTGGAAAATTAGATGACTTTTTGCAGGAATAACAGCTTGGTTATGCTTTTCCTGATGCAGCCTGTGAGTTTAGAGTGTATTCAAAGTCAGGTGTTTCATCCATCTCACCACTCAAATTTGTAATTCTTATTGAGATAGACCACATATTGTGTTGGTCGTGCTGTGAATCCTGCTGTGCTGAAAATTATGAAGATACCTGTTTTCAGACTGTAAAGTATGGCCTTCAAAAAAGTTCACAGTGCACAAACAGGGTGTGAAGGAAGCAAAATATATCTGATTCCCCTTTGAAAGAAGGAGCAGTCTCATCTGAACTTAATTTCAGACTGTGTCTTAAAGAAGAAAAAGAAATAACTCATGCAAAGCCCCATAGTTAAGACCTGCTTGCTGAAATATATGAGCTCTGAAAATTGATCAGTCATGTTGTTGCATTTGAGAAAGTTGTTTTCTGGTTTAATCCTATTTTTTTCTTTCTCTGTGCTGATCTACTGCCTGTCTCATTGTAATTAAACATTAAAATCCCACCCAAAAGAAGTTAGTAAACTTCTGGCCTTTCACAAACCAAAAAAATCCCACACACAACTGTTTAAGGAAGACAGAAGTATCTCTCCCAAGTCCCTAATGTAAAAGCAGTTTCACCACAGTTTATTCAGCTGGATCAGTTGCTTCATGCTAGACATTTGATAACAATTTACAATAACTGACAATCTACCTGGGCTTCATTTCTAGTTTGGGTTGAGTTTAGCTGAGTTTTTAATTGGGGGTGGATGAATACTCAGAGACTACTAATGAAACTATTCTGCATAAGTTTCTTATTGTTGTGGTTATAATGGTTTTTCCATTATTCATTCAAGACCTCTGTTCTTAATGAGGTAATTATTTACACAGCACAAACTTCTTAGTTTGTAGTAGCAGTCTTCTTAGTTCAACAAAATAAATTCACTTCTCTTCCTAAGGTAATAGTGAAAAATACAGAAAAACAGATGTGGATCCCTATTCCTGCACTAATTAGGTACCTTGGTTATTGATAGTATGTAGAAGGGCATCCATAACATTACTCTATGAGGTTTCCATCTCTTTGATAGTCTTCTTGCACAGGATATTTTTGTGTGTTTAAGTTACATCTTGCAAAGTGTTTAGCATATGCTGGAGGATCTGACTTTCCTCCTGGAACATAATGGTCTTGATATTTGAAGAACATTGTTCTCTGTATTGGTTATGAAGACACATGGTGACAGTTGCTCAAGTAAGAACGCTAGTAAATCTGATTCAGAGTAGTACAGATCTTAGAAAAGATGTTATAGCAGAAATGGTAAGTCAGGGGTTGAACCAGTGACTGAGCACCTAGTGGGAAGGCAGGCCAAGCCAGGGAAGCTCAAGTGCATGCCATACAGTTGAGATTGGAAGGGCTGGAGCCAGGATCCACCCCTTCTTAGCTCTCACTGAAGTGTTAGCAGTAGATGTGAGGCTACCTCTCTGGAGATCCCTGCCTAGCTGAGATCTTCCAAAGCTCTTTTCCTTCATTTCTGTTTCTGTGGTTCCTGCATTTGTATTTGTTCTTATTTGCTGTAGCTGAAGACTCTGCCACCTTGCTATTATCATCCCATTATATCATTACAGATGTATATAAAGCTAGAGTGGGAGCGATGCCTCCAGTATAAGTCCATGTATACTGAAAACAAGAGTGCTACTTCTGAATTATAGAATAGCGCAAGTTCAGGTGCCATGTGATGAGGTGTTTTCCTTATATATTTTAGATCTTTGGTCCTTTGAAGTTCCTTATTGCTGTGTTTTCTATTGTATTATATGGGATAAAACTCTTAAGTTAAAAGAAAACTTTTTTCAAGATACCATAGTTACTTTGGTCAGAAACAACTGAAGCAGTATCTGTACAATCAATGAGTATACAGATTATATAGTATGTCCAGGAGTTTGGCTAATGTAGCTATTATATTAGAGTAGGAAAGAAGAACAATCACCCTATCTTGGGCTTCTGTGGTAAACTCCAGTGGAGCAAATCTCCAGAAGAGATCCATCCCCACTGGCGGTCAGCTCTTAAATGGGTCTACGAGAGGTGGAGTCAGGATCCACCCCTTCCTGCAGCACAGGTGAATTGCCTTCACCTGTGCTCCCGTGGCTGACTTACTGCTCACCTCAGGTGATCAATCAGAGGTTCAGGCTGTGATTTAGCAGCCCCGTAAAAGTGTCCTAACTTGGCATATTCTTCTGCTTCAGTCGTTTCTGTTTTGCTTCGTTTTGCCTAGAAAAGAGAAGAAGAGGAAAGACAAAAGGGTGAAGAACAAATAAGGCAGCAGGAAGAAATCCGAGCAAAAGAGCTGTATTTGAGTCTCAAGCAAGCTCAGCAGCACAGTCAGCACAGCGATGATGACCAGGAGTGGGAAGAACAGTGTGAGTAAAACCATCTTCCCAAGATTTATGTGTTTCTGGAAGACTCCTATGTGCTTCTAGAATGAAAAGAAGTGTTGCAAAAAAATCTCTTGTGCCTAGAGCAATGCAAAATGCTGTATTATTTTTCAGGAAATCACAAACTTATTTTAGAAGTGAATGCTTCCATGAGTTTACCGAATATGTTTCTGAATAACAGTCTATGTCAATGACTTAAAAAAATGTATCAACTGGAATGGATGGACACACTTATTCAGATGCCTTGTTCTCTGCTATCTCTGAAGAGGTAGAATCTGTCTTTATCTGTGTTTTAATTCCCTCTATATGTTAATGGGATTGAGATATGATTTCAGCTCTTCAGTTTGAGGGATTACAGTAAATAATACTTACATTGTTTCCCCGAAAAAAAAGCTCATGGAGATGCTCTCCCTGTATGAAGACAATTTCTTTTTAGCCACTCTGAAATCATTTACTGTCATATTTGTGGTTAATTCATAAATACAATTTTCTTTTTTTTTTTTTTAAAGACAGTAAAGAACAGGGCAAGCGTGTGACTCAATGTATAGACATATATTGTAGATATAACCTTAATAGGTTGTTGTGAACAAAATGTAGGTCTACTTGATCTAGAGTCTACTGTAAAACTAACTGTAGAAGTGGGAAATATGCATTTTCTTGGAGGAAGAATATTATTATTTCTTGCAGCAATACTTGTTTGATTACTTTTCAGAAAATGTGATGTTTGTAATGTTACAGCTCACATGGGTGTATTCTATTAATTATGTGCAGTGCAAAGTTTAATCCACTAATACTGAGAATAGAGCTTTATGGAAATGACAAATAGCATGTGCATTATGTGAAATACCTCATGAAGTAGGAGAAAATATTGCTTTACTGTTTCAGAATATGCTAAGAGGTTTTTTTTGTAGCGTTGGTAATCACTTCAGCAGTTCCTGAAGACTAGTTACTGAAGTCCTATTACTTGAGATTGATGTGACAGAGAATTGTGCTAACAAAGTGAATTAAGATTATATAAGATACACTGGTGCCATTTTCCAAGGTGGTAGCAGGCTAGGCTTATTTTTGATCAATAAAACCTCTGCATGTTACACTGTCAATAAAGAAAAGGTAATGATTCCTAAATCACCTAAATCTAGGTGTATGTGTTTATTCTGAAAGGAAAACTGTAGCTTTCTGTGTTTGGACTAAATTAGGTCAGAAATGGTCTTTAGTTTTGTCGAAAATTAGATGTTGTCAATTACTACCAGCTACCAACATAGCATAGAGGATGGGATTATGTACTTCCATGGTAGATAAGGAAAGAAAATACTCCTGTAACCATGTTACAAAGAAAAGTGCAGCATATTTTTATACTGAGAGTGGCAACAAAAAATATTCTAAAAATTACTAATAAAAGATATAATTTTTTTATTACTGCAATTATTTTACTTTGATGCATTGAAGAGAGAAGTGAAGGTTTTGAAATCGTTTCAGTTTTCTCAAGGAATCCTAGTTGTACAGGGACAGATATCAGAAATGCAACAAAGGAATTATGAGAAGAGGCAGAGGGAAAAGAAACAAGCTGTGAGAGACTTGGACCATTTCTTTAATAGCATTCGGTGTCAGTCCAAAGAAGATTTCAAGTACATCATATGTTGACTGACATAATGGTTATTTTTTCTTATGTAACCTTTGGTTGGAGTGTTTTATGTGTTTATGTGAACTCTAAATTACTGGTCCATCCCTTGTCACCCTCACTCTATATACTTTGCTACCTGTATGGATGTATCTTTGTGCTCAGAAGAGTGACTGACTGCAGCTCAGATAATTTGAGATACCAAGTGTTATCACCAGTAACAGTGCTGCTGTGGCAAAACAAAAGGTCAGCAAGGTCTGGTTGGCTGCACCATAGTTAATGTTTGAAGCCTGCTCTAAATTCTGTGCTCTCAGAGTTTATGCTGTTATCAGGAATTGATTTAGCATTAAACTAACTGCAGGGTAATGACTGGAGTGTATCATATCTTTGTTTATCCTCTTATGCTTATCTCATTGTCTCAATTTATCCCAGTTGATTTGAGGGCTTAGAACTGTGTTCCATTAGCAAATAGCTGTGACAGTTTAAGATATGAAGAGGTAGTGTTTAGTGCCTTGGTTGAAACCAGTTCCTGGGCTGGTTTAAACTCTGCCATCCGACCGCAGTTTCCTGAGGAATGTTCATATCTTTCATTCCCTTAACTTTGCCAAAACATAAGAACCTTCAGCAAACAGACAGCAACAAATATTTGGAAGAGGAAACGTGTTAAACTGCTAGGGAATGAGCTAGTGTTCAGGTTCACCAGACTTCTCAGCTTTAAGTTCAAATGACATCGTTTTTCCCCCTTTTCATGGCAATCCTTTCATTGTATCTTCATGTATTTCTTCAGCACACTGAGAGGAGATTTAGTCAAGGTGGGCAAAGTTGTCCATTTGTCATCTTTCCTAAGCAAGAAATAAATGCATGAATGTGTGAGAAAGGACTAAGCAGACATAATATTAACATGTTTTGTCTCCTGCCCACCTGCAATGGAGACCTTATTGCCCAGTAGGAGCAAGGTTAAGCTCCTTTGTGTCTTGTGTCCTTGTAGTTAGTCCTTCATATTCAACAGTACTGGGGTCAGTACCGAAGAGGAACAGAAGTGCCTAGTGCAGCTATTGTGGAGAGCAAATGTAGCAATGATATTGATGACAGTAGTAATTTATTTAGCAGATGAAATTTAGAATGTGATGAGAATTCATCTCTCCTCGTCGCATTATCCCCTCGGTTTACTGCCAACGTGATAAGCAAAGTGCTGCTAATATTAGTTTCTGTTGTTCTGTTCAGTTTGCTTCTGTGGTTTGCTTGAATGTGCCAAATAACAAAAAAAAAAATCCCATAGAACTGCTTTGTTAATTGAAATAGCTAATTTCAGTGCTTTTTAATATAATAAATGACAAATGTGGAAAAGCCTGAAAAAGCTCCACTTTATGTGCATAATTGCTACTAAATCATTTTTTCCTTCGTATGTGTTGGGGTACTATAGAGGGCAGTTGCAAGTTAATATGTGGAGTATTTAGGTTGGCAGATGGGAAGATGAATAGTATAAAGGAATTATTCAGATAGTCCACTTTCCCAAGCTCTTATTCTCAGAAGTGAGAACTGAAGCTAAGCTTGGATGGAAGAGAATGTATTCTGATTGGTTTTGAATTTTTCTACAGGCTGGTCTATTTTGTATGTTTCTAGAGTTTTCAGGAAACGATACTCTATGCTATGCTCTCTTAGTGTGACTCTGTTGTGTGAGACCAGAAATGAGGGTTTTACATAGCATAATATGAAAACTTGTAGCTTAAACATTCCTCTGCTTGAATAGTGCAAAAGGCATTCCGTCAGTACATTGCCAACTTCCTGCAAACTGCACCAAGGAAAGAAATGCCTGGATACTGTCTGACCAACCGTACCCCTCTCCAGACAGTTAATAAGCCTGAAAAGATGCAAATAGATTTGACTGACTTGCTCTGTTCATATTTTTACATCTTTTCTGAAGCACCCACCTTTGGTCTCTGTTGGAAATGGGATATCAGGCTGATCTGGTAGAACCTCTTCTATAATTTTGTGTTTTACCACAAGGTATGCCTATGAACTTGTTGAGGTTCAAAGGATTTTATGTTCTTCTGGTACTTCCACAGAAATTCAAGTGGAGGAATTTACTGGCAGGAACATTTGATAAAACGCTGATTTTAAAGGCAAACAGCTCCCATTTCAGCTATGCATTAAATAAGCAAATGCTCAACCTTAAGTATGTGCTCATAGAACTTCAATAGATCTCAGAGCACATTGCTGAATAGGGATGGAATTATTGACATACTTTCAGATCAAAAGATTGCTGAAGTCAAGCCCTGTTGCAGAATATTTGTGGGAAGTTATTTCCCAATTGTGGAAGAGAAAACGCCATGTGATTTTTGGGTTTGCACTCAGAAAATCTGCGAGTTGAATTTTATTTATCAAGCACTCATTTTGAATTACTCATGAACAAGCTTTCAAGAATAATTAACAAGGGTAAAACTTAAGAAAAATCTCTTAAAAACAAACAAACAAACAAACACGTCTGTTGCTTTTTTTTTATTTCCACATATCTCCATTTATAACTCACAGCTCTTCAAAATCATAACATGTATTGTAGAAAATGGAGAGTTCCTAATCTTACAATTGACGTGCTTCACTGACCACGCATAGCACAAATTAATCCTAATCTGAGTTAAAAGATTTGTTAATACAACTTTTCCAGGGCTAGATAAGCTTATATAATATAAATAAGGATTCCCCAGCCCGAACTCAAAATATGAAAGATGATGCTGCATTTTGACTCAGAAGATTGTTTAGACTGGCAGAGAGAAATTATAGATTCTCAAAAAGCGTCCAAGATGGAGCAAACTCAAGTTAGGACCACATAGAAACAGGTCTGCATTTCTACACAAGGTACAGTGTAGAGCACAAGGTACATCAGGGGAAAAGTATGCTTAATTTCACCCGAGCTGGAGGAGGATGTAACTGTTCTTGTTCTTTGTTCTTAACCAACATCTGAAGAAGAAACCTGATGGTGGAGGTGGACGTATGGGCTTGGCTGAATGGTAAATTTTGTGCGTAAACTTGAAAAATCAATCAAAATCCTCCTTTTCCAGTATTGAAATTATTCTGAAGTTATTCTGGGATATAAATTTGTAGTAATTCTTGATGCTAGATAGATACCTACAGTGATGATTCAGATATTTTTGAGGACAGGAGATATTTAAATATCTAGTCTTTTTACAGAAAATACCGATTATTAAATGTTGTGCTTTGCATAGGGGTCATGCCAAATGTACACTTACTGTAAAAGCGTCTTCTGTCAGCAAGTCAATAATTTAAATAATCAATTAAGAGACCTTGTACACCCCCATGTTCAGTGATGCAGTTCTTGAGACACTTTATCTGGAGAATTTTAATGAAAATTCTTCATCATGGGAAAGAGATGATTGTATATATGTGTGTTTATGTATATATATACTTTTACATATATATATATACACACAGATATGTAGACTTGCATATGAATAACTATACGTAGATATCTGACTACAGTTTTCTCTATTCCTACACATTTATAAATGTATATGCATATGTATATGCGTTTACATACATGAACACAAGCATGTGTATCCATATGTATAGGGATGGGCAAGGCTGCACGTCAGATATCCATTCTGAAATTTTTTGGAATGTTAATGATTGCCAGTTGAAAAATATGTTCTTTCTTCCCATTATTTTGCCATAAGAAACATTTGTATTTGATACTGCTTGGGAAAACATAGTTCAGGTCTCAGGCATCTGATGATATAGATTTATTAGCTAGCAAAAAGACAGTAGGAATGTCTGTTGAAAAATCTATTGCTGAGGAAACTTGAGCATGAATACACCTTGTTGTTTTTCCTTTGCCAGTCAGTCTGTACATCAGTAGAAAGGAATTCTGAAAAGCTCCATGCAATCTGCCCTCAATCTGTTTGTAAGGAACAATGACTGGTTTCTAAATGTCCTACCCAGATGCACTGTACTCATCTTCCTTGCTCTCTCTCATATTGCTGCTAACACAAAGTCCACATTTAAAGCAATCGCTGCTCGCTGGCTTTGCAAAGGATAAATCATAGAAATTTTGTATCTAGTACACTTGACGTACTGAAGTAGCATATTTAGATAAGATTATCTACCCTTAAAAAGAAGGACCTGTAAGATAAATAGTGGAACACAGTACTCAATTTTTTGTACTGTATGGCTGTTACTGCATTTAGCTAAAATGACAATGTGTGTATTTAAGTGAAAATACATTGAATTTGTGCGCACAGGAAGTAATGATGACTCATTTATTATTCTGTCTTGATTAGTTTTAAGTCGTATATATCTTTCTACCTATAATAATACTTCATAACTAAACTTAGAGGTCTTCTCTCATTCCTTCATTTGCCTAGAGTGTCTTATTTTGTTTTCTGTTAAGCACTTTTATTTTTTTATTCCATTAAACCTTTTCATAATTCAGATAAATCTATTATAGCCCGTGCTTGCTGTAAATCAGGAGCATAAACCAGAGGCATGCAGCCTAATGAAATGCAGCTGTCTGGTATTATATCATGCATTCCAAGTCACAGGTACAATCACAGCAGAGTAGGAAATAGCATGTGCACTTCATGAATTGGGTATGATCTGACCCAGGATAGTCATGGCAGGATTGATAATTGCTGCTGGAGGCAATAGCGTGCTGCTTTAATATTTGCTTCACTGAATGTTAAAGGTTTGTTTTGCACTGGAATAATTTTCCTGCCTGAAGTTATTTATGTCTGAAAAAATCATCAAAATGGAGCTTGAAGCACCGGGAAAGAGCAGATAGATGACAAATATTTGCATATTCTTAGTGCATTTAAGTCACACCAGTTTGACAAGGAGATTGTTTATACACTGTTTTTAAAGTAAAGAAGCTTTAGTGAAAGATGTGTGATCTGCGATGGCCAGAGCTGCAGGTCCATCATTTCAGGCTATGGAAATTAGTTTGCTTTACTTAGGTATTCCTGGTCAGTGCCACTGATACATGTGTATTAGAATGATAAAATATCCTGAGATGGGATATTCCCATAAGGATCATCGTGTCAATCGAATGTGCCAGACCAGACTCTGGGTCTTTATATATAATTTCAGAGACTGAAATAGGAAACGATAACACCATCTGTAGCATCAGAATACCCTTTACACTGACTATTCATTTTCTCTGCTGTTCCTGAAACAATTTTTTGACTGGAGTTTTTAAGATGGAGATGTTTATGATTTTAAATATCGTAATGATGATAGCATCCACTTTTAGAAAGAGAGCCACGTTAACAAATACAGCAATCTAAATACCAACACAATTGTATGTTTTGGGAAAACCTCCTGCAGTTCTAGTTATGTGCATAGCTGCTCAAGCAATAATTAATATTCTCTCTTGAAATGTATAACTTGATCAACCACTAGTGGAAAAGATGTCCTGCAGCAGAATTTCTCTTATTACATCCAGTGCAAGCATCAGATGTAATCACAGTCTGTGGAGGCTCAGTTTTTGCCTGTAGTGATCAAGCCATTGATAGCACAAATTTGGCACACTTCCTCTGCTGTTGGGCCTGTATTTGAAGCATCAGGGAGGTTATCTGCTTAGTTTTCTCACTGATAGCTCATTGTAATTGGTGTGTTCTTAAAATCAGGTAACGTGAGTAATAATGACATAAATAAGGGCAAATGTTAGTATTTCATGTATTTCAAAAGCTTCTCCTCCTGACCCCTCTCCTTTGTTGACTCAGTGCGCCGCTCCAAAGCTGCGGATGAGGAAAGGAGCCACAAAGCACGCAGAGCACGGGACGAGTACCGGCGGCAATCCTTGCGGGCCATCCAGAAGGGCAGAGTGGCTGATCTGAGTAATTTGTTCCAGGGAACCAGACTGAATAACGATCAGGAGGCAAAACTGAACAGCAACAGTGCGAGTCCTTTGCTGTCTCGTGTTGTGACATCCAGGTTAGTTTGTGCAAGCGTAACTTGAAAATGCATATTCTGTTGAACTGTTCCCTTTCCAATTACTACCTGTCTCAACAAGTTCAGTGTTTTTTTTTATGTTCTCACTGTCTTGTTCTTTCACTACGACCAGAGCAAGAGTGTTTTTAGGGTGGAAACAACTGAATACTTAATGCCAACTAAATTATTTTTCAGGCAGATTTGTGAGAGCCCATACTGAGAGATGGGCCCATCAGAAATCATGATCAGGTTAGTATGCAAGGCTCTGATGTAGAGAAAATCAAATGGACAAATTCTTAGGTGAGTCTTAACCCTCAAGCCTGAAACTCTCTACTTCTCAATGGATCATAGAATCACAGAATGGCTTGGGTTGAAATAATGATCATCTAGTTTCAACACCCCTGCTATGTGCAGGGTTGCCAACCACCAGACCAGGCTGCCCAGATCTTTGAAAACACGTTATGGATAGTTGTCATACTCCTAAATTTCAAAGAGTTTTCTCTTGGCAAACTCAAATGTTTTTGGTGTTTTCTGTTTATTAATCTTTCATCCAACCATTCAGGGAGTACTGTGTAAAGAATTCAGCATATAAGTGCTAGAATGTTTATTAGTCACTGTTTTCCTGAATACATCTTCTGTCATTAATTTGGCTTCCTGCAATGATAATGACAATGTGAATTCTGTCAGAACAGTAGCATTAAATGCTGAAAGTGACAGTAGATCAAACTTTGCTTTACCAATTTCTGTTGCACCAGTGAGGAGTCCCCTCTTGTGTGGAAATCTGTTCTGCTCTGACAAATAAGTTCTTTTCTGTGTTATGTTGAATCAGAAGACCTCTGACAGTAATAGCAAAAGCAGCTTGAGATGGAATCAAAATATCATTGGCTGAGAGATAGCAGAATATTTAAAATTGCCATCAAATCAACTTGTCAGAGGTGTTATATTTTTCTGAGCTACTTAAATAAAAGTCTTCTTTGAACTGGAGTACTATAAACACTAATGAAAATGATGTATTTTAAAACAGATGATCTGTAACTTGTAAGAAGTTCTGTTCTTCTGAAGCGAGGATACTGTCATTAAAATTTGCCCAGGGAGGTTGTGGATGCCTTGTCCTTAGATGCGTTCAAGGCCAGGCTGGATGTGGCTCTGGGTAGCCTGGTCTGGTGGTTGGTGACCCTGCACACAGCAGGGGGGTTGAAATTAGATGATCCCCAAGGTCCTTTTCAACCTAGGCCATTCTGTGAATTTGGTAGTACCAGACATGAATGTTTTGAAAAAGGGGTTGAAAAAATACTGAGGTATGTTCTGATGGTTATACAGCTAATGTTCAATACTGCTTATCTATTATAAGCTATGCTTTAAACATGTATTGTGATTCAGCATATATGTAAATGTATATAGGTCAACTTCCTACACTTAATACAAGTACGGTGAAGAAAGAATGTAGGTATCTAAAATTTTCCTTCTCTTGTGAGGTGGGAATTCAAGGGGGAGATGTACAGTATGTGGTTATTTATAGCTGGTCTGAGGCAGACCTTCAGCCTTAGGGAATGCAGGTTTAGTGTCATATCTCTGGTTTTTTCTATGTGACGCACAACCCCTGTAGTTTTACCTTCTCCTGTCTGTTTATTCAGCTTTTTCCTTTTGTTCCTTTTGCATACTGTGCTTACATTTTACTTGTACTTTTGTGGAGGTATTTTTCTCTTCTGTCATGTATGAACATGTTTGACAACACTAATGCTATAGAAAATGATAGTGATTTTGAGATTTGTCTTTGGGCAAAAATAAATAAATTTCACAAGCCTTTCGCGGTTAAATAGTAGAAGTAGAGCAAAATAAGTTAAAAAATGGAAATGGGTTGAAGGGCTTTGGAACTCAAATGGCTTCCTGTTTCTTTATCGAGGAAAGCTATTAAAAAAAACAGAAATAAGAAACATACATAGGATTTTTGTTTATTTCATTAAGTGCATATCTGCGTCTGAATCTTCACTTTCTCCACTCACTCGTATGTTTACATCTTAAAATTTGGTTATGAATATTGGTCAGATCTACCCACGTGTTGGTGAAATTTAGCAGTTACTGTTACTTTGGGCTTCATCACTCAATATTAACAAACTCAATCACTATTTTTATTAACTTTCATATCATCAAACAGACATCATCTATCTTTTTTCTCTTATTCATTTCTAAAGATAAATTTACTGACATGAGTTACTGAACATCACATGTCAGTTTCATGTTTGGTGCCTTCTGAGTTGACGTTTTATTACTAGTTCTTCCATTACGTTGTCTGGAAATACCTGATGTTAAATAGCAGCTTCGTGGCAGGTGGGCTCAGAAAGCAAGAAATAGGTAGCTGGCCACTGTACTGCTCCCTGTGAAGAGTATGTCTGTCTTGCCAAATGAAAGTGACGTTATACTACAAGTGGACATACCTGCACCAGCTTGAAGATTTGATAACTTTCGTTAACAATTTGAGCACACAGAATTCCACGGGATTTCAAACAGAAATCCATAGTAAAACCTCCCTTCTATTTGTGTTACCAGGGTAAATGAGACTGTGTGCTTGACTGGAACACAATCACGCTTCGTTTTGATACTATAGAGCTACCTTCAGTCCTTATGTAGGATTGCTGGATGTGTTTCCCATATATTTGACCTGACTTGCCTTTTACTAGCTAATATAATCTAAAATACTTATAACGTTGTAAGGGAAGCTGGCAAATCGAGAGTGCCAAGGCAACATAAGGGCTTAAACCAAACATTTCCTCTCTCATGCTCGGTGATTTAGGTAAAGGAAATATTATAGGTGATTCTGGATTAGAATTTCTTGCCAGGGCAAAGGAGTATATTCTAAGCAGGAAAAAAAACTACTTGTGAAAGTTAGGTGGAATACAAAGGCTGCCTGAAATGCCCCTTGCATCTTTCGTGATAAATTGTTTTTTCAGTTGTAGTTCTTTGCTTAAGAAATTACTTAGAATTCTGTTAAATTCTGAAAATGTTTTTGTTTTAAATAAGAACCCAAAAGAATTTGAACAAATAAAAAAGAACATAAAAATTGTTCAGTGATCTATGCTGAACAGCAATTACACTGAATGTGCTGTACTTTTAGGTGTGTGTTGTAAAATACATACAAAAGAGATTTTGAATTGTACTGACCCTTGCTTTCTTACACTGCTGATTCCCTATGTGACCACCTTCTTGCCTTTTGACATAGTAAAATCTGGGAACGTCCTTCTAGACCCTTTTCAAGAGAAGTCATCATTCGCTGGTTCAAAGAAGAGCAGGTCCCTCGACGTGCTGGGTTTGAGAGGAACACCAACAGGATTGCTCAGTGGTTTCATGGTAATATCCTGATCTTTACTTTCCCATCTTGTAGAGCTGTAAGCGTACCTTCAGGAAGTAAATCTTACCGACCTTTCCTTTCAGAAAGGAATGTTTACTGACAATGTGGCACCTGGTGCATGTTTCGTATTTTTTTTGCATCATTCCTTTTTCTTAGCATGTGCTTTTCCTATTTTCTTTTTCTGATTAAGTAGATTTGTGACTCAAATCACTGATGTTTTTCATGAGTATTTTGATTAAAAAAAATAATAAAAAATGCTTTCTGTAATATGGCAAGCCAAGCAGGAAGAACACTAAGATGGGATGAGGGGGATTTAAAATGAAGTGGCAAATACTATAGTGGTATGTTATGTGAATGTCTCACATTAAATCTTTTCTTTCCCTGATTGGCAAACAAGATTTGAACTTATGTGTCTAACACCTGTTGCGCTTTGCATACCATGGTATCTTTTATTTTCTCTTTGTTTTGCAAAGAAGAAATATTAAGATGTCTTAATTTTTTTCTGAATGTCCTGGAGAATACAGGAGAATGTGTCTGTCTTGCATAAGGATATGGCAATACAAATGAAAGTCATTCTGCAAAGCCAGAATTATGGCTAACTACTTGAGCCAAATAAACAATAATGTAATAATCATTTGGATAGGTGGGTGTTTCTATGGAAAGGACTACCACCTAGTATTTAATATGGTTAATATTGTGATTAACAATGGCTTTTCAAAACCTCTATAAAAACATCATTGAAGAACTTCTGTATTTTCTTCTATCCCAGTTTTGGACCGTAAAATGGGAGGATACTGTTCTGCTCACATTAAGATCTTTTTGAATGCAGTGCATTAAGATATCTATTACAGCATTATTAAAGAAGTGCATTAGTTAGGTACAGAATTACATGGTTTTGCTGAGGTCAGCAGGCCCTTGCTTATCAGATTCGACTGGCAAGTCCTTCAGCTTTTTTTTTTTTTTTTTTTTTTTTCAAGATTAAGCACTAGCTTATTTGCTGTCTTCAAATTGTACTATAAATGTCTGGTATTTTCTACTCATATAGAGATGAAGGCTTTGGGTTGTTGTTAGGCTATATTTAAAAAAGACAAGTAATAAAAGAAAATGTAGTTGCTGTTATATCTTTATCTTGGGTTATATTAATATGATAAGGTGCTGATCTCTTCTCTCTATTGACCAGTGATAGGATCCGAGGGAATGGTATTCAGCTGCATCAGGAGAGGATCAGGTTGGGTGTTAGGAAAAAGTTATTCATGGAGAGGGTGGTCAGGCCCTGGAACAAGCTCTGAGGGAAGAACTCCAAGCTGCTGGAGTACAAGGGGAATGCTCTCTGACATAGGGTTTGATCTCTGTGTGGAGCCAGGGGTTGGATTCAGTGATCCTTGTGGGTTTCTTCCAACTCAGGATATTCTGTGATACTATAATTTGCTTCCTCTGTTTTCCCTTGTCCTTTAGCCTTTCTCTTCTGCTTGAAATCTGCTTAATCGTGTTATTTTTTTTTTTTCCTTTTCCAATTGGTTTGCCAGCCGTTATGTTCAGAAGAAACTTCAAAAATGTAGGACATTGAGCCATCACATATTCTGTTCAGCATTTGGTTATTTTTCATTCAGAACATACAAGAGAGTTAGTTCCCTTCTTGTCTGGGGAGTGGTTGATTTCTAAATATTTCCCCAGCTGTAGTTGATTCTAATGTCTTACTACTGTTGATTTTATTTATCCACTTTTTCCACATTATTTATCCATTTTATTTATCTGAGAGAGTGGGATCTCTCAGAAGTATGCTGAGTGTAACGTGAGATGACTAAATGAGGAATTTGCGAATTGCCTGTCTGTTATGTGGCTTCATGTATGTTTGCTAAGCGCTTTATGCAGCATTGTGTCAACTCTGCTTGCCTTGAGGTTGAAAGAATAGTTCAAAGGCTGCAGTTCAGAATATCAGAGAATCACAGAATGGCCAGGGTTGGAAGGGACCTCAAGGATCATGAATCACCAACCCCCCTGCCACAGGCAGGGCCACCAACCTCCCCATTTAATATCAGACCAGGCTGCCCAGGACCCCATCCAGCCTGGCCTTCAACAGTTCCAGGGATGGACAGGGCATCCACAACCTCTCTGGGCAGCCTGTTCCAGCACCTCACCACTCTCATAGTAAAGAACTTCCCCCTGACATCCAACCTAAATCTTCCCTCCCTCTTAAACTTAAAACTGTTTCCCCTTGTCCTGATGTTATCTACTCTTTCAAAGAGTTGATTCCCCTCTGTTTGTAGGCTGCCTTTAGGTACTGAAAGGCTGCAATGAGGTCACCTCACAGCCTTCTTTTCTTCAGGAAAAGAATATCTGTAAATTTCATGGCTTGTGAGTGCTGGGGGAAGGTACCAGGTGAACACAAGCTGATGGTTATTGCCGTCTGGTAGAAGGAATGCACAGGTTGCCTTTAGTCATCGTTCCTATTCCACATAGATATTACCACAAATGTTTTTAGGACTTGCTGTCACCTTTTCTGGAAGTCTTACCAAGAGCAGATCTGGAACAAGTTTGGTCACCAAATTATGTTCTCACTGTATAACTTTACATCAGAGAATAGATAGAGGCATACTGTTAGGCATGAGTAGAAAGGTATACATTTCTGTCATCCATACTGACCCTATTCTGTGCGTACACAGAGCACATTAGTCTCCAAGGCTGTTAGTCTCATGCTTTTCATCACTGCTGAATTCACGCACAGAGATGAAAGATGTTCATATGCCAGCTGTTATGCAGGATGAAGAAGAGCCCTCTGTTGGATAATATGGAGCTCATTACACGCTGAATGAGGCAAGTCAGGCTGGAAAATCTGTCTAGCATTTGAAGGTCTGATGACAGGGTCACTCCGGTTTTGCACCATAGCCTGTAGATAATAGCCATACTGTAGTTTTAATTTATTTTAAATAATTATTAAGTAGTACTGTTTATAACCTCCATGTATAGGTTTTATGTTTTGGAATGCTATGCAAGAAGAAGATTGTCCTTGCAGGGCTCTACATATTCTCTATATGGGTGGATTTAAACATAGCTATTAGAATCATGTTTACGTATTCATTTTTTGGGAGATGGAATGATGTTTTTTATATTCCCAGAATGGTTCACTATCAAACATTTACTGCATTTCTAATAGTGCTTTTCTGAGACAGAATTTGGAGTTGTGTTTAGATCCTGCAATAGGTTCCTGCATGTGATTATGGATGTTATGAGTAAAGTCAGATACATAAATTGTGATCCAAATCCTTCATCAGCTCTAGTTCAGTTCTCAGCTTCTTCCTTAGGAAATAATAGATGTTTTGCTGTTTCTGAGAACTAAGATGATCCTTCATATACCACGTCACTCTACTTAGTTCATAATGATTGTTTTAGTGTGTTGATTCTTTTGAAGGTTTTGGAGTTGTATTTCTAGTGCCATTATAGTTCCAAAGTGTCTACACAGGCAGGTTATTAGCAAACAAAATAAATGTTTTAGACTTGTGGCTCCGCTTGGAAGGGAGCAAAGTATCACGGTGAGGTAATGTGAGCTGTAGCGTGTGGCAAGGAGAAAGGAAGCTCAAAAGAGCAGCAGGGAAATTGTAGAATGAGGTAAATGAATAATTAATGTGAATAGGCTAATTGCTGGTGTGGAATTGTTTTCTTATTCTTCTACAATACATTGTCCTTCTTGACTGCTTGTTAACTGGAAGCTATGTTCTAAAGATGTAGATGAGATAGAGAAAGGCAATTTCACTAAGGAGATACTGTAGGCACTAAAAATGTGAGACTATAAATAACAGGTGACTACAGGAGTAGAAACAAGTTTATAGTGTTAACGGTTTCATTAATACAAAATGATCAGGAGCCATGCCTGATCAAAGATTAAAAAATATGGTGGTTTTTTTTCCAATTATGTGCTTTCGAGTTTAAGCTAGTGCCAGAAAGTTCTTTGAATCTTTTTCATAGAGCTTACTTCTGTGTGAGCTTATTAATCGCTTAATGGAAAAATATTTTGCTATTAAAAATGAAATTGATTTACATTCTGGAGACTTGTTGCCTCCTCTATTTAAAACACTTTTAAAGATTTTCATCTCTGTGTGCTTCTATTACAACATGAGCACTTATGATTTCATTTAGTAGGCCACAGTGATGGCTTAGTGTATTTGCCTGTAATTTTAAATTAGTGCTCTGTGTTGTGTCGCCTTAGTGAATTGGGCTGTAGATGGTTAGTTTTTCTCAATTACTATAGCTATTTCATTCAGACTGTATGTAACATCACATTACATAAAGTAAAAAGGAGAGATAGTATAATCATAGAACCGTAGAGTTAGAAGAGACCTTTAAAGGTCATCTAGTCCAAATTCCCTGCAATGAACAGGAACATGCACAGCTAGATCAGGTTGTCCAGGGCTTGATCCAGCCTTGCCTTGTAAGTCTTCAGGGATGGGGCATCAACCACATCTCTGAGCAACCTGTTCTTCCGTCTTCCCACCCTCAGTGTAAAAGACCTTTTCCTTGAACCCAATCTAAATCTACCTTCTTTGAGCTTGTATCCATTTCCCCTTGTTTTGTCACAACAGATCCTGCTAAAGAGTCTATCTGCTTCTTTCCTGTAGCTTCCCTTTAGATATTGAAAGGCCACTATCAGGTCACCTCGCAGCCTTCTCTTCTCCAGGCTGAACAGCCCCAGCTCTGTCAGCCTGTCCTCGTAGGAGAGGTGTTCCATCATTTTTGTGGCTCTCCTCTAGACGCACTCCATGAGGTCCATGTCTCTTTTGTACTGAGGACTCCACATTTGGATGCAGTACTCCAGGTAAGCCCTCACCTGCACAGAATAGAGGAGCAGGATCGCCTCCATCAACCTGCTGGTCACGCATCTTTTGATGCAGCCCACTATACATTTGGCTTTCTGTGCTGCAAGGTCACGCTGCTCTCTCATGTTCAGCTTCCCATCTGCCAGTATCCCCAGGTCTTTTTTGACTGGGCTGTACTCAATCCTTTC